CCCAACTTGATGAAAAGTATTATAAAAAAAGAGAGGACATTATCCTGGTAAGAGTGTGAGCTGGTTGCCACCCAAGAGAGGACAATGGCCAGGATGCTGGCTGGTGGAACAACCTGCTGGCCTAAAGAAGGCTGCCAGGTTTGGGTACCTGAGAAGGACCGCTTGGCATCAAGCACTGTTGAGATGGCTGAAGTCGGCTGGACACCCCATGCTGTCTGGCGACACGTATATGTATATTTGTTGCAAGCAGAAGAAAACAGACCCTTTCCCACCTTCTTTACCTCCCCTCCCTCATTAAGGCAGCTCATACAAGCTTGTCTTGAACTGAATAAATGAGTAGACATTGTGGACCTCACAAGATTATTTAATTCTCCAAATGTATAGACCTCGATGGTAGATGTGACATGATAGTTTCCCTTCCTTGCATTTATTTAAAATATTGTTGTAGAGATACTGTGGTCTTACTCCGAGGCACAATCTTTGGGGAGAGGGGAGTGCATTTAGACCCATGTGCAACTGTACAAATTGTGGTGCGGCTATATAGAAAGCCATTGCTAAGAATAAAGTCTGTTTTAAAAAAACAAAACATTAAAGTTCTAAAACACATTTGCGTGTTTCCTACTTTTAATTTTTTTTTTTTAAAGTGCTTGACCTCGCATGTGAAAATCTTGTAGATGGCTTGAGCTGTGGATTCTGACTGCTCATATAATTTGTGTGAGTGTGTTCAACTTGGGCTGAACTCTTGTCAAGTTTGACCCACTGTGGGAAAAGTTCCAAAGAGCATGAAGGCTCTTGAGCTCTGAGAGGGCTCCTCTTCTTCCCAAACTTGGCTAGGCTTTCAGTCTTCAAGTCTCTGTAAGGCATAGAAACGTGTCCTTCCCTGCAATGAAAGGTGAAACCGCGCAGTGCTGCGGGCCCAGGAGTTTCTGCAGCTGCTCTACTCACTGAACTCTGAGCACACTTGGAAAGAAGTGGTCCCTTTGGTATTTATGGCACCTTCACACTTAATCTGCCTGTTTCCCTGGAGATGAAAAATAGTTTGTGCAAAGGGTTGAGATTGCTTTTTGTCTCTTTGCTGTTTTTAAGGTTCTCATCACTAACTACAGCTTGGGAATCTTTTTTTTTTTTTTTTTTTTT